TGTGTGTGTGTAGAAGTGAATCATTTACTGCTTGCAAACCAATGATGGTAAGATGATGTCATGGGGTAGGACTGGATAAGTCTGACTTCTTCCTACTCCATTCAAGCATGTACTAGGTATAAGCAAATTGATATTGGATTATGTGTAAAATTATGTGTGTTGTCATATCAACTGTTTTTACATGCTTGAAAGAATAAATCAAATCAAATCAAATCAAATCAAAACACGTTGTCCAAAGATAAGTCCGTTAAGCCGATACACTGAAGCAGTCCGAAATAAGAGGGCAAGGCAGAACAGAATAATCCAAGGAAGCAGTCCGGGTCAGAAACACAAGATACCAAAATCGAAGGAAAGCTGGAAAGTCAGAGCTGGGGTCTAGAACAATCTGGCAGCGTCCTTGTGGGAGGATGGCCCATTGTCAATATCTCTGTGTTTTAAGATTATTTTTGGGCATTTCACCTTTGATAGCTGAGAGAGAGAAAGGAAATGAACTATGGCATACACCTTAACCATGAAGCCACCGGACGCCCCTTTCTTTTTCTCTCACTTTGCAGTTTGTTAAAGTATTTGTACAGTATGTGTTGTTCTTTCTTCAGGTATGTGCTTTTAAATGGATGAAAACTTTGATGGCTGAGTTCCGAAGAAACAAAACATAAACTGTGTTTTATGTCTGTTATTACTTGGAGCTTACTGTTACATGTTATTTATATTCTATAATATTATATTAATATTATAGTATTTGTTTTCTCCTCAAAATGATTTGATCTCATCCTAACAACAGCCTTGCTAAAAAAACAACCTGACACTTCAAAGGGCTTAGTTTTTATTTATTTTGAACCTACCCTCCCTCTTCAGTTTCAGCATTTGCCAAGAAACCAAAGACTCAGGAGGTGCAGGAGGGGTCCTTTGTGGTCTTTGAAGCAGAGACCGAGAAGCCTGATGCTAAAGTAAAGTGGCAGTGCAACTCTCAGGACATCGCCAGTGGCAGCAAATATGTGATCACAGCCGACGGAAACAAGCACTCCCTTGCTATCAGTGCTATTGCCAAGGAAGATGCCAATGTCTATGCAGTGATTGCTGGGGGGTCAAAGGTCAAATTTGAGCTGAAGGTCATATCAAAGCCAGGTGGGAAACTCTGATGCTGCAGCTGTGTGTTTGTGGTCTCTGCTCACTCACCTACAGGCTGTGTAGTCAGTACAGAGCCCTCAGTGTAGAAACCACTGAGACACTAATTACTTGATGCATTGCATGCACTTGATGTTTCTGCACCTGAACTCATGTTCTCTATCCTCTGTCAGCTGCTCGGCACCAGGTCTCTGAAACAGCTTTGAGTGATTTGCCTTTGAGAAATGTTTGCCCTTAAAGGAATAGTTTGACATTTTTACAAATACATTTAATTGCTTTCCTCCTGGTGGCATAGCTGCACAGTGCTTAGCACTGTCGCCTCACAGCAAGAAAGTTCTGGGTTCGAGCCTGGGTCTTTCTGTGCACAATTTGCATGTTCTCCCTGTGACTGTGTGGGTTCTCTCCAGGTACTCCAGCTTCCTCCCACAGTCCAAAGACACACAGCAACTTTATAGTGCCCGTAGGAATGAGTGTGTGTGGTTGTGTGTCTAAGTGTCAGCCCTCTACCCCGCCTCTTGCCCAGAGTCAGCTGGGATTGGCTCCAGCCCCACTGCAACCCTCATTAAACTAAATTTATGGTATATGGGAATCAATATTTTGCTATTTTGTTCAGCACAAAATAGCAAAAACTATATCGATATTGGCAAGGGACGGGAAAGCAGTACGCGTTTTGTATTCCTCATCGATTTTACCATACTTAGAGTATGGCGTTGAAAACTGGGGAAATACACACAAAAGCTCACTTCAACCATTGTATATATTACAAAAAAGAGCGATAAGAATTGTGCATAAGATGGGGTATAGGGATCACACCAATGTAGCTTTCATTGTGTGTGTGTAGAAGTGAATCATTTACTGCTTGCAAACCAATGATGGTAAGATGATGTCATGGGGTAGGACTGGATAAGTCTGACTTCTTCCTACTCCATTCAAGCATGTACTAGGTATAAGCAAATTGATATTGGATTATGTGTAAAATTATGTGTGTTGTCATATCAACTGTTTTTACATGCTTGAAAGAATAAATCAAATCAAATCAAATCAAATCAAAACACGTTGTCCAAAGATAAGTCCGTTAAGCCGATACACTGAAGCAGTCCGAAATAAGAGGGCAAGGCAGAACAGAATAATCCAAGGAAGCAGTCCGGGTCAGAAACACAAGATACCAAAATCGAAGGAAAGCTGGAAAGTCAGAGCTGGGGTCTAGAACAATCTGGCAGCGTCCTTGTGGGAGGATGGCCCATTGTCAATATCTCTGTGTTTTAAGATTATTTTTGGGCATTTCACCTTTGATAGCTGAGAGAGAGAAAGGAAATGAACTATGGCATACACCTTAACCATGAAGCCACCGGACGCCCCTTTCTTTTTCTCTCACTTTGCAGTTTGTTAAAGTATTTGTACAGTATGTGTTGTTCTTTCTTCAGGTATGTGCTTTTAAATGGATGAAAACTTTGATGGCTGAGTTCCGAAGAAACAAAACATAAACTGTGTTTTATGTCTGTTATTACTTGGAGCTTACTGTTACATGTTATTTATATTCTATAATATTATATTAATATTATAGTATTTGTTTTCTCCTCAAAATGATTTGATCTCATCCTAACAACAGCCTTGCTAAAAAAACAACCTGACACTTCAAAGGGCTTAGTTTTTATTTATTTTGAACCTACCCTCCCTCTTCAGTTTCAGCATTTGCCAAGAAACCAAAGACTCAGGAGGTGCAGGAGGGGTCCTTTGTGGTCTTTGAAGCAGAGACCGAGAAGCCTGATGCTAAAGTAAAGTGGCAGTGCAACTCTCAGGACATCGCCAGTGGCAGCAAATATGTGATCACAGCCGACGGAAACAAGCACTCCCTTGCTATCAGTGCTATTGCCAAGGAAGATGCCAATGTCTATGCAGTGATTGCTGGGGGGTCAAAGGTCAAATTTGAGCTGAAGGTCATATCAAAGCCAGGTGGGAAACTCTGATGCTGCAGCTGTGTGTTTGTGGTCTCTGCTCACTCACCTACAGGCTGTGTAGTCAGTACAGAGCCCTCAGTGTAGAAACCACTGAGACACTAATTACTTGATGCATTGCATGCACTTGATGTTTCTGCACCTGAACTCATGTTCTCTATCCTCTGTCAGCTGCTCGGCACCAGGTCTCTGAAACAGCTTTGAGTGATTTGCCTTTGAGAAATGTTTGCCCTTAAAGGAATAGTTTGACATTTTTACAAATACATTTAATTGCTTTCCTCCTGGTGGCATAGCTGCACAGTGCTTAGCACTGTCGCCTCACAGCAAGAAAGTTCTGGGTTCGAGCCTGGGTCTTTCTGTGCACAATTTGCATGTTCTCCCTGTGACTGTGTGGGTTCTCTCCAGGTACTCCAGCTTCCTCCCACAGTCCAAAGACACACAGCAACTTTATAGTGCCCGTAGGAATGAGTGTGTGTGGTTGTGTGTCTAAGTGTCAGCCCTCTACCCCGCCTCTTGCCCAGAGTCAGCTGGGATTGGCTCCAGCCCCACTGCAACCCTCATTAGGAATAAGTGGTATAGATAACGGATGGATGCTTTCCTGCATTAAGTATAAGGCTACAGTCAGGAGACAATTAGCTTAACTTAGCATCAAGACTGGAAACAGGCAGAAACAGCTGGCTCTGTCCAAATTGAAAAATATCTGTAGCACCTATCGATCTCACAAATTAATATATCATATTTTTAAGTCCAAAATGTTTTTGTCATCACTGTCAGGCAACCAGCAGAGATTCCTGGTAGTCACAGCTTAGCCAAGAAAGTGCTCCATAAATGTACTGATTATGGCTAAACGTGTTAATATAAAGTGTAAATTAGTGAGCTGTAGTGGTGATAGCCAGTAGCTTTTGTCACTCTTTTACAGAGCTAATCTGCAGTACATGATTTTCCTTTATGCTCAGCTAACTCTCTCCTGGCTGTAGCTTCCTAGTTATCATGCATAAATGAAAGTGGTTTCAAGCTTCACATCTTCAGTAACTGTTAGAAAGGAAGCAAACAAGTGTATTTGTGAGAAAGGCCACGGCTGTGAACACGTCTTATCACTGGTTTAATCACAATCATTTTATCTCGCACTTTACCACATCTATAGAGCACTGTGTTGTTTGCTGAAATGACCATGTGCTACCATAAGTGTGTTACAGAGCACCATTCTTGCCATTATTCTGTCAGCATGACCCGCTGAGGACATTTGCTTGGATCTGATAAGCTGGAAACAAATCTTGAAGAAAGGTAGCAGACTAATGGCGTGCTACGAGCAACTGCCCACAGCTGTCTGTGGCTCATATCACAGCCGCCTTTACTCTGTCTGTACAGTGACCTTGACCCTCACACAAGCACATTATTTCCTTATGAGTAATCACCACTTAACTAGGGCTGAGGATAGGCACAAGAGGCGGCTGATAACACATGGAAAATCAGTCAACCAGTCAAAAATAAGACATCATAAATATGTGGACAATACAGTACGTGTTCACCAGAGAATATTTTAAATCTGACAAAACAGTGTTTAAAAGAAAGTCATAGATGAAATGGCTCAAATAGCTAGGGTTTTTTTTTTTTTTTTACTAATTATGTGTCTTGGTGCAGAAAATATTCATGTGTAAAGTGACACCTAAAGCTTCACTTAAAAAGAGAGAGAGAGAGAGTAAGTGTGTTTTCTAAACAATTTAACTTTTGACACACTAATTTATATAGTTAAAAGTTATCACATTAGGCATTTTGGACACTTATTTTTTTGGAGCTGAGTACTTGCAATGCATGGTCCTACATTTGTCATAGTACAGAACTCCTCACCGGTGCCTTGTTGTCTCTATGGTAACCAAGATGCTCCAGCCAAGGCACTTGCTGATAAACCAGAGGAGCCTGGTGTAGTAGCAGAACCGGCCTCCAGACCATCTACAGCAGCACCCACAGCACATGATGCTCCTCCAGCTGAGGGTGAGTTACTGATCATTTACCACTTTGTTCAGTACTGCCCATTCGATCACAACCTTTGAGTTAAGCTTTCACTTAAAATGTCAAATGTGGCAAAAATATTCCACTTTACATCCAGGGGGTTGAACAAAGCTGCCGTCAATGAACAAAACATCAACAAACTGTTGATAAGTTGTTAAGTTTCTCTTTTGCCACATAGGTATACAGTTCCACATGTTTGCCTGCTTTCTCTTCTGATTTGTCTTGTCTGTATGTCGTGTAGTGTGCGTCTCAAAAGCGTGTGCCTGAGAACCTTTACGTTTATGACACTTGAATAAAAGTGTTTACATTTGTACCTAATTTTTACACCTAATTTGTTACCTTTAAATAATGTTAGCAATAATAAAATTAAAAATAGAAGATTTTGCATACTATAATTTTGTTCAAAGTATTTCTATGTTTATTTGCTGTTACCAAATAAACAAAAATGTAATAATTTGAAATTTAGTTACTTGAAATATTATGCTTTTAACTTGAACAACCTGGGCTGGTCGATTTTTCATATTTTAAACATTTACTCATTTTTATCAGATGCACTAGTCCAGTTAATTCTGAAGCAATTTCAGTGTCTTAGAGTAAATGAAATATTTCCATTTTTTAAAAGGATTTTCTTACTTTACTCTGTATCCAAAGTGTCTTGAATTACTTAAAAACTTGAATATCTTAAAATATCAAAGGCAGATAAAGTCATTATAGCTCCAGTCTCATGACACGATGGTTTTAACATCAGTCCACTAAATGAAGTTGGTTTTAATGGACTGTTCTAACATGGATTTGAGTTTAATTTTATTCTTTCTGCTTAATGTTGTGGCATTCTGATGTGACCCTGGATTTCTAGATGGACATCCTCCAGACACCAGACAGGACCTGACTGGACTCTTCACAGAGAAGCCCCAGGATGGAGAAGTGACTGTAGGTGAGTGACTTCAGATGGCTTTGGTCTGACTTCCAGTTTGTGTTTTTATTTTCTACTCATTTCCTGTTTCTTGGCTGTCTCAGCTTTACACTGTCACTTATTGTCCTCTTTGCCTTCACCTGTTGCTCATTTGCTTCCCTGCTCAGCTTTTACATTTATTTCACATGCCTCAGTTTGTTGCTGTTTCCTCTGTTGTCATCACTTTGTTATGGGTCATCTCTCCTGTTTGTCCTTGTAGGTTTCTGTTTTTGGCCTTTGCCCTTTGTGGTGGCCTCTGGTATTTATGGCTTGTTTTCTCTGTATTTAGTAACTTATGTTTGCACTCGGTTAAGTGTCGTCAGCCGTTGCTCTCAATTTTAAGTGTCACTCCCTGTGTGAACTTGCTTGTGTTCCTCTTGGTTATAAATATTTATCTTCTATCAGGTCGAGTGTCGTTGATTTATGCACTGTATGGCTGGAGTCTCTCATTCCTTGACATTTTCATTTCAAGTTATTTTTGTATTGTCCCTTGTTTTATGTACACTTGTTTGTTGCTCTCTCTCTCACACTATCTATCTATCTATCTATCTATCTATATATATAT